TTATATATCTCCCGGGTGCATTCCAGGCTGCATATTCGGTTGGTAATACTTGTGGACAGCCGATCAGTTTCCGTCTTTTTATAGCTGTACCCGATGCTAGAGTAGCGTATACACTATTAATGTACTCATTTTGATAATGATAAAAACGTTGTGTTTGTTTTGACATCAAACTCCTTGCTCGAGAAAAACTGTTTCTTTGTGGCCAACTTCATTGCATCCGTGATTTTTGAACCTGCAAATATTTGTGAAATGCAGCGCACCACAATACCAACATTTAGTTGAAAGTTTGCAAATTTTCGAGTGATATTTGCTCCTCTTGTTTCCATACTGTCCACCTGATTCAACAGGATGAATATTACCATTTAGTGAAGTTCCTTCTTTAGTTCCTACTATTGTAGTGTCGTATTTTAGGTTTACTAGACGTTGACATCCAGCAGTAATCATTTGTAGTGTCATTTTATTATCTTGTTCCGGACACAATAATAATCGATTCAGGACATCAGCATCTGCAGGTGATTGCAATCCAAACACAAATTACGGACATTTGAATTGATTTTTTGATAATGAATTTAATTTAAAACCTTGAGCTTGTAGATTGATTTTACTTGCATAAGTCAGATAATTTTTATTAATCTCCTTTACTAACTGAAAGTATTGGTAAGAGATGCGAAATAACAATGCTTGCTCACAAAATATCTAGTTCAAGATATCAATGGTTTCATCAAAACTCAGCCCCCTTGGATGTTTTGAAAGGATATAATTTCTTGTGGGCCAATCGTTTTTCTTTGCTTCCTATGTTTCTTTATATTGCCCTTGAATAAGATCTCTAATTCTAGAATACCATACTTCAAATGTGTAACTGATTTTGATATCAAAAATGAATCTTGGAATCGAGATAATTGATGCTGCTGTTTCTTCTTTGTTGTGGGGCGGCCTCGAACTGGATTGAAAATTTTGACAATAGCGTTTCAAACATCCGTTCTTGTGAGCTAAAAATTGTTTCTATTTTTGTAGGAAAAATGTCTGAATTTGTTTCATAGCAATGATTCAAGAAAACTTCATGAGCTTATAAGTACGAGTTCAAAGACATTAAAAATTGGATAGAACTTTGGAATACTAAAAGTGCCATCGACTAACTGGTAGGCAGTATATTTTATCTCAGTAAAAATGAAGTAGCACTGACTCATTACATGGACTTCATGAAGAGAGTTAGAATTTTAATCAAATTTTATTGCAAGCTATTCAGTAATGCTACTAGTTCATTGATCATAGATTTCATGAAAATTTGGATCAATAATAAACCTTAGACAGAAAATATATATATATATATATATGGTTTAATCTAACACAACTCTTAGCTTGTGTGTATTTTTTAGAGATTTAAACACTACATTTCATCATGAACTGAAATCAAGTAGCTGAATGCTTTTTCTTTCTGAAAGTTTATTTAACTACAAACATATTTTACATTAATAAATCAGATTACTTGAATGGCACAGTAATTAAAATTAATATTTCCAAAAACTGAACTTTACGATTAGACGTGATTAGACAAAATCCGAGACAGAAGTATCACAACAGGTTAAATGTTTGGGTAATACCGTTTTTAAATAAAGTTGGACATGTAGATTACAAAAAACAATCATACTGACAGAATGAAGGGATAAATCAATTCTAAGATTATTCACATTTGAAAATGAATAGCCTCAAGATACCATTAAAAACGCATAATCAGGCTATGCTAAAAAGAAATAATAACCTAAAGAATGAACGATAGGTAGTAGCTTTGTTAGTTCGAGTGGATGCAGCACTAACAGATGTTCATTTACAACAAACTAAAAAGTTTGATAAATAAGCCTCATTGTTTTTATTTTAGAGTAAAGGCACTACAAAATGTAATATACTTTTAATCAATGTTTTATCGGATGGTCATGGATAGTATTTTGTCAGTCAGTCAGTCAACAACAGCGTAGAACTTCGTACGTACGCACATACATCAGTTCAGGTTGCCATACCACATTAGCACAGACATGCTACTGTCAATTCAAATCCCATAGTAGTAAAGGCAGTAGAAGTATCAGCAGTAATCGGAGAGATTAGGGTTCGAAGATATTATTCAAGAACGATAATCCAGTGAAAGAAACTCACAGAGAAAAAGATAAAGGTAATGAGGAATTCAGAAGGTTAGGATTTGAGAGTAGACAAGGAATGGATGCCATTGCAAACGGTTTTAAGCCATGTCATTCAGGGTCTCTAACCATCGATTACTATTTTGTAAATTTAGATAATCAAGATTAGACAAAATGGTATATGTTCACAAAAATGAAGGCGGTTAACAGCTTATTGGTATTCTGACCAGAAAAAAGCAAATATCTTACCTTTAGTCCAAAGGGTGATTTCTCCATTTCAACTTTATATTGCAAATCTTTTACAGGAGTATTGTCTACATTTCCTAGCGGAATAGATGGTTCCCATCTGTCTGGTTGTGAAGGCGCAGTAAATCGTATACGAAGTCTAGTTGAAGTTTCTTCTCTAATTTCAACAGCAATATTTTTTATTTCATCTGGATAATATATTGGACTAGATTTACTCAGTTGTCCAATAAAACCATGTTTAGTTTTCTCTGTTGATATCACAGTATATGCAGAATAATCTTTTGGAAAATAGCAATATGGCAATCCATCATGTTCACTTCTAGGTACCCAACAACATCCTCTTTTGATGCACTCACCTTCATTAGAACCAACATTTGGATAACAATCTAAACGCTGCACATTAGAAATATTTGAACATCGAGGATAAGATTCTGCAGTTTTGAAAACGATAATTAAGAAAAGGGTAAATCCAACGATTATAGTCTGCATGACCTCTGTTCATTTGGTTCTTGTCACAGGAACCAAACGAAAAATGAAAAATCTAAGAGAATGATTTTACCTAGTCACTGAACAATATGTTCACTTGACATACTTGGCCAACCAATCATATAGCATTAAAAAATCCAATCAATAAAACCATGTGATTTATCTGTTATTACTACTTATGTTCAATAACAATTTCTTATGCTGTGTCGATACGTGAAAACTGTAATGTTACTATGACCAGATTATATGACTGCAATATTTTTCGACCGATAAGTGTTACCATGACTGAAGGAATCAAAAATATTAGGAACTGTGTTTTACTGCATAAGTCTGACAAAGAATCACACCAATGTTCGCAACATTTTTACAATGTCTCATCTAATTCTTAAAGTATTTGGTTAAACAATAAGCTAATTAATTAGTCGAACTGGTTAAAATCATTATCCAATCATAGTTTGAATAAATTCACTTGTTTTGTAGATGAACAGATGGTTATTTTATCTTCAAAATCATATCTCTTTAGTTTGTCTAGATTCTCAAATGAGGTCAGTAACACAAAACTATTTCATCTAATGAGATTCCAACTAATATTATAACTCTTCAGATAAAATCTAACAGAAAAGCCATCTCGGATGAGATTGATCTATTGTGCAAGAAAAGTTAACTACTTCTGAGTGCGCATTAACAACATACTGCATACTTGAATGTCTATACGTTTCTTGGTCGTAATAGGTTTCTCCTATAATTTTCAACATGGTTCACATGGCTTCTTAGAGCTTTTAGATGTAGAATAATACATGTTTTTATCTATGTGTTTGTGCGAAAAAAATGTTTTACACGTTGATACTGTAATCGGCTTAGATTTAGCTTTATTTATTAACAGAATAAGTATAGTAAACAATAATCTTAATGGTCTGTAGTCGAAATGATGGGAGAAAAATTTGCAGAGAGTGTTGCTAAAATCTCATCTCATAAAACAATATCAGTATATAGAGTTTTATTATTCAATCGAATCGACCAATTATTTTTAATTGGGACTTTTGTCTGTTAAAATATCTGATAATCTATAACACTGCCATTTTAATGTCAGTGATGAGTTTTTTTTTACAAATCAGGGAGAAGTCATAACAGCAGTACAGTTAACAACCTTTAATCAATGTTAATCCTGTTTATGTATGAGATTAATTACTGTCAGGTATATTAATTTTTTTGGAAAAGATGCTCAACTTTCCAACGAATCCTATATTGCTTACATAAATCTCTCCTTTTAACTTTGGCTTAATCAAGAATAGTCAACAAAATGAAATTAATTCGACTTATGAAACGCTCTTGTTAAATATCTGTATATTATAGTAAGTTGGTTGATATTTGAGTGCATGAATAGTATGAATACGTAATCAAATATAAATGGAATTTACAATTAATACTTCTAATCCTTTATAAACTACATACACCATGTCTATTGAAATGATATTTATTAATACCACCATAAAAATGTGCATAAAAGCACTCAATTTCAAGGAATTTACCAGCAACTATGGGAGTTGGACCTGTTGAATTCAATATACTGGCATACTATATGGGCTTAATGGTTAGTGGTCTGAAATAAAGATGAAACAGACAGCTTTTAATTGGTAACTGACTGATTTAGGTAAACGATAAAAACCATCTAACAAATCAATATAAATATGAATTAGCTTTTTAACAACTCAAATGATATTTGTCAACAGTAAATAAATAATCTTTGGACTAGAACAAAGCATACCTCAGATGTTAGATAAAAAGTTAATAATTATTTATAACTATTTTATATCAAAGTATGAAACAAATAAACAATTAGATGGAATGTTTAATTTAACAAAATATTTAAAACATCCACTATTATTATTATTATTATTATTATTATTATTATTATTATTATTATTATTATTATTATTATTATTATTATTATAAACCCAGTATATTTAAATGTTAAAAAACCAAAATCGGAAGTTTAGTGCACATAGTAATCCAATCAAAAAAATACCATTCAATCAACATAAATTGTCTTACAATTAAATTCAATCATGTTTACTGTTATTGGTTTCTACTTCCATGATTATTGCATGTATAAAGCTGAGTTACACGATAAGTTGATTCTGAATATGTAGCGGTCAATCAGCAGTTTGAAGTCATTGATATAACAAATAACATGAAACTTTTAGTTGATTAAATCATTTTAATTCTATTGTAACAGTTAATAGCAACACAGTATTTAATATCTGATAGAAAAATCATGCTGTAATAACATGACTTGCATAGATTAGTGGGAATATGGGAAAAAGTCAATTGAAAGGATGGAAATTTTTATACAATATAAATAATAACTACTCAAAAGTTTAACAGTAGTACTAAAAACAATTCGTCCAATATGGATAAGTTTCAAAAGACTGAAACGATGTAATACAGTAAAGTAATCCCACTAATCTATTGACTAGCTGAATAAAACAAATCAAAAGCAACCATTAAAGTGGATGCAAATTCATAGAACTGTTTGTTTTAAAATAATTTAGTTGGGTATTAAGTATAGTTGCAAATAACAAAAGACATGAAGACATTAGACTAAATTATAATTGATTAATTGTGATAAAAAATCCTACTAGACATAAAACATATTGGTGTTGATTCATTTAAAAGTAAATTACTTCATTTTAGTTGCATTTCAGATCATATTTATTTATACCTCATTGAGACAGAATTAGAATTTATAAAAGTAAGAAACGTGCTGACTTCTGAAAATGAATAGTTAGTTATACATTCAGAAAATTGAAAGACAGCGTGTATATGGTTGCGACTAAAGCGAGCCGAAAAGCTTCATCAAAATTATGCAACGGACAAAGAATTTTCCTCTTAAATTTCCATCAGTTGCATTTGCTTTGTTATCAAAAAGGGATGGGAAAACTCTATTGATGTTGCTCATCCGAGAATATGAAAAACTCATTGTTATTTCTAAAAAAAAATGAGTTAAAAATAGAATAGTTTGTTACAGGGATCAAGAAACAGCTTTAAAAAAAAGAACTACAAGAAAGTAACAGCAAAGTTAACTAGTCATTGACTACTGTGTAAACACTGTGTAGACACTAAATCATTTACCCAAAATGCTACAGAATTTGAATATGAAAATTTGAAAAGATCAAACTGTGTTTAAAAAATTTAATAGTCTAAGTAAGAGTTAAATCTTCATTTGTCATTAAATCGCCAAATTAAATCAGTGGTCAATTGTTATATTTAGTCAGTTAATGTTATTACAGGAATTAACTTGTTGTAATTATTCAATGAACCTTTACGATGGTCATGCATTTGTACTATCGAAAATAATACAGTGTATCAATAGGCTTCAAGTTTCCTTCATACAGACTGTATAGAAATCGATTTTCCAATTCAAATGTAGTTCATCAAAGACATTCTTAAACTGGGTGATATATATTCCAACCAGATATCCTACTACTTCGTCATATATAAATAATTAATCTTTTTGATTGTTAAAACTGTTACTTGAACACATTTGATACTGAATTTTTAGCCACTTCTGAATCATCGGAATTCCTCCATATCAAAGCGCTAGATGGTAGAAACGAGGCATAAAGTAAGGAAGAATGCTTTGCTTCAAGGTAATAGAGTAAGTAGTCAATCAATCATATTATTCTCGTGGTTTTTACTGATTGTAAAAAGTGCTTTCAGCCCACCTTTTGGTTTCTGTAAACCTGATCGCTGAATTTTTTGACTATCCCAACGATGATGTTCAGCAAAATAAAAATCACAGAGAAGGGGTTTTACGGTTCTTACGATTCGCAACCTCATCTTCAGCTTAGCTTTGATGTGCTTTTCAGCTGGTCAATTTGTATTTAAGCTGACAATTGCGAAAAAATAAACATTTCAAAAACCCTAAACTGGTTGACATCACCTACCATTACATCATATTATTGTTTATATACTTAAACCTGCTACTCATCATTGGACATAGTCCGTCTGCATGGAATCTCTAGTCAAATCTGTCCTGAGTTCCTTTTTTTTATTTGTTACCATGTTCGGTTTATTCCATGATATCTGCCTTCGATTCTTGATTCCATGAATTTCTAGGTCTGTTTCTTTTCCTTTTACTTTGAAGATTCGAGGCTAGAGCTAATGTTTTGATGACGTTTGGTGATGTTAACAGGAGATGACCTATACACTTCCAGTAAATTCTCCCTGTTTTCCTCACCAGCTGGAAATTAGCTGTTTTCTGCCGGAGTAGGTTATAGCTGGCGGTATCCGGCTAATAGATCTGAAGTATCTTGCGTAGACAGCCGTTTATAAATACTCGCAGCTTTCTAATGATCGCTATTGTAGATCTTCAACTTTCAGACACATACAGTCGAATATTATTATAGTTTGTGCTTAAGATTTTAACTTTGATGTTGGTCGACAGTCTTTTAGAGTCCCAGATATCCTTTAACCATGTAAACAATCCACTTCACTTGGTAATCCTTGCTTATGCATCTGCATTGGATCTTCCTCGTTTATCAATGCTGCTATAGGCTTCCTCCTTTTCCAGAGCTTCGGTATCAATGACGATTTCGTTGAAGTTGAATGGTGCATTTCAGGATCTGATTTTTTCTTTTGTAGATGAGGGGGCCTATTGATGTGAAGGGAGCTACGAAGCTGTCTTTTTTTTCATTTATTACACTGGACGAGACAGAAGCTCCAGATAATCGTCACTATTTAAAACATCCAGTTGTGTCCAGGGTGTCCACTGTATTCCATGGTTCTCCTAATATATGGATGTCTTCATAATCCAGTCGACATACGGAAAAATGTGCAGTTCAACGGTATCAGGTGTCAGGTAGTTATCTACCAGAGATAATACAAAATGGTAGTTTAATATCGTGGTTCTATTGAAATCAAACGTTGACACCGTTTGATGCAGACTGAGTAATCTAGTGCGTAGGTATTCACGTCTGGTACCGAAAGTTCTAGGTTCGATTTACGCGTGCAGGGTTATGGATACGCACTGCTAGGGACTG